ACAAACCACAAAAAAAACAAAAAAAAAAAAAAGGGGGAAAAAAAAAAGGGGGGAAGGGAGAATTCGAGAGGATGGCTCACCGCCTACCCTAATATCACTATCAAACAATGCCAAGACTCTTATGATATACAACGAACACTCAGGAGTCAACAATCCCTCCTCCGCAGGGAAACTGCCAACAGAGAGACTGTAATGATTTACACCACCACAGCCCATTGCGCAGTGCTCGACAAGTTCCCCACGGGTCACCTATAAGTTCTGTCAGAGCTACCAATGTTGTGGGATCCAGCATTCAGATACAGCTACTGAAATTGTGGGGCCAATCAGTTAGTTTTTCTAAAATGGTTCCAGTTACAATCCACTTCCAAAACCTTCCCCTCCCACCTCTCCTCAATCTTCTCCTCCCTCTCTTCCCGCCTCCTTCATCTTTCTCCTCCCCTCGCCACCTTCTCTCAATTTCTCCCCTCCTCTCCCTCTTCTCAATCTTTCTCCTCACCCCTCCCCCTCTCTCTCATCTTCTCCTTCCTCCATCTCACCTTTCTCAACTATTCCCTCCCCTCTTCAATCTCTCTCATCTTGCCTCTCCCCCCTCTCTGCTCAATCTTTTCCTCTCACCTCCTCCCGTCCGTCTCCCTCTTGATACCTAGGAGCCCGCCAATGTTACGGGATTTTGCCTCTCGCCCGGATTTTTCTCCATCTTTGTAGAGTGACGCTTCGTGTGGCGGGGGGTCGTCACTAAGTGACTGGACCCCAAATAATGACCTCCCTGCTGAGAGCGTCTTCTCGCTGGAAGAATAAGTGGTCAATCCGTTTCGAGGGTATAATGTAGGAGAGTTGCAGAGAGGAGCTATCCTCTTAGCATCCCCGGATGAACGAGCATTGAATCTGCCGACGAAGATTTGACACGATGTTACGTTTGAGTTGGAGGTCGTCTATTCAATAAATATTAACACAACTCTCAAATCGACGTCCATATCTCAGTGTTGCAAAGTCCCTAATGGTGCGTGCAGTGGATCATTGATGCACTGTACTGGTCTTGGGTCCTTGGGTCTGACTCGAGCGATCTTTGTTTTGCATAAATCTTGCATAATCGGAAAAGTTAGGGGGAAAATCTTAAGTAAATATTAAACAACCTTATGCCAAATGTCTAATCAACATCTTGGATTCTATAAATTTCCTTTCTGGGCTGTCTGTGCAAGATTGATATGTTGTATAAATTGGTTGGTTTAACAGGTAGCAATGGTTCGGGGGGGAGGGGTGGGGCGAGATAAGGGTTAGTGGTTGAGGTGGGGTGGGCGAGTTGAAGAAGGGTTGCTGATATAAATCAGAACACCAGCGGGGGGGGGGGGGGGGGGGGGGGGGGGGGGGGGGGGGACCTGTTAACTACAGTGGAGAATTACAGTTTCCAATGGGCACCTCCAGCGCAAGTGGAAATCATATTCAATCGATATGGACAAGTCGTTGATCAGACCCAGCTTCACTGACAAGGTTGGAAAGAGGAGAAATGACAGGTGGCGTACAAACGTAGTGAACGTAACCCAACTAGACCGGATACGGATTTTCCTGATCACAGCTGAACTGTCCGTTCACTGATCATACAACGTGAAGGGTGGATGCTGTGCTGAACGTTACGGAGAACTACGAGGTCAACTGCACTGTCCCCATAGCGAACACCATCCATGACGGAAAAGGAGGTAACGTGGGGTTGAAGTTTCCATCCTCTACACCCTCTTGTAAACCTCGCTCCCTCCTCACCCCCCTCCTCCTCACCCTCGTTTTTAGTGGCGAGTGCTCCACAGAATCCTGGTGGTCACTGAAATTGGGCGTAACTCCTACTGTTGGCGGGTGGAAGCATCCAGTCAACCCTAATGGCTCATACTGCAGATATCGTGTGAGAGGAAGCTCACGAATTGTAGCAGAGTATCTGAGCATTGCGATGCCATGTGGCATGATAGCGCAGTGTGTCAGTGAATCTATGTCAATCTTTGGGGTGCATCGTGGCATGATACGCAGTGTGTCAGTGGAATCTATGTCAATCTTGGGGTGCATGTGGCATGATACGCAGTGTGTCAGTGAATCTATGTCAATCTTTGGGGTGCATGTGGCATGATACGCAGTGTGTCAGTAGAATCTATGTCAATCTTTGGGGTGCATGTGGCATGATACGCAGTGTGTCAGTGGAATCTATGTCAATCTTTGGGGTGCATGTGGCATGATACACAGTGTGTCAGTAGAATCTATGTCAATCTTGGGTGCTTGTGGCATGATACGCAGTGTGTCAGTAGAATCTATGTCAATCTTTGGGGTGCATGTGGCATGATACGCAGTGTGTCAGTAGAATCTATGTCAATCTTTGGGGTGCATGTGGCATGATACGCAGTGTGTCAGTAGAATCTATGTCAATCTTTGGGGTGCATGTGGCATGATACGCAGTGTGTCAGTAGAATCTATGTCAATCTTGGGGTGCATGTGGCATGATACGCAGTGTGTCAGTAGAATCTATGTCAATCTTTGGGGTGCATGTGGCATGATACGCAGTGTGTCAGTAGAATCTATGTCAATCTTTGGGGTGCATGTGGCATGATACACAGTGTGTCAGTAGAATCTATGTCAATCTTTGGGGTGCATGTGGCATGATACGCAGTGTGTCAGTAGAATCTATGTCAATCTTTGGGGTGCATGTGGCATGATACGCAGTGTGTCAGTAGAATCTATGTCAATCTTTGGGGTGCATGTGGCATGATACACAGTGTGTCAGTAGAATCTATGTCAATCTTTGGGGTGCATGTGGCATGATACGCAGTGTGTCAGTAGAATCTATGTCAATCTTTGGGGTGCATGTGGCATGATACGCAGTGTGTCAGTGAATCTATGTCAATCTTTGGGGTGCATGTGGCATGATACGCAGTGTGTCAGTAGAATCTATGTCAATCTTTGGGGTGCATGTGGCATGATACGCAGTGTGTCAGTAGAATCTATGTCAATCTTTGGGGTGCATGTGGCATGATACGCAGTGTGTCAGTAGAATCTATGTCAATCTTTGGGGTGCATGTGGCATGATACGCAGTGTGTCAGTAGAATCTATGTCAATCTTTGGGGTGCATGTGGCATGATACGCAGTGTGTCAGTAGAATCTATGTCAATCTTTGGGGTGCATGTGGCATGATACGCAGTGTGTCAGTAGAATCTATGTCAATCTTTGCTTCGAAGCAATGCGACAATCATATTATGAACTGTAAAACTGGCTGTGGTTCAGTTTGCTAGTAGTTGAGATGAGAAATGCTCTGTCGAATTCAGGTAAGAGTTCAGTTGACGGACGGTAGCGGTACAGTGATGGAAGAAACGCCAGATGGGTCCTCAACGTCCCTGCTGATCACAGGACTACGAGGTTTCACAAACTACACGGCTATAGTGTGGGCAATAAATGGAGCTGGGGTTGGGGAAGAGTCTAGGCCAGTTCCGTTCAGGACAGACTTTGGGGTGGTGCCACCGACAATCAGCAACGTTGTCGCTAACATCGATCTGCAACAGTACACCTTCACTATCAGCTTCAGTGTTGAATATGGACCACTCAGGTATGTTTATGTAATAGTCCGTAAGTAATGATACCAGTCCTGATATCTACTAAATGTAGTCCTTTTGAAATCTATATAGATTAGTTGCGCACTTGTGTTTCTGTGTGTGTGGCTGTGTGGAATGGGTTTACTCAGCCTGTGTTACACAACTTGTTCCACTCTAACTCGATGAATACACTGCCAGTGATCTTTGCATACCTCCTGCCACAGCCACTATGAGGTGTATGCAGTCATCACTGACCAGCCTCCTGACACGTCAGTCATACTCTCGGAGCAAACCGACAACTCATACGTTACCTTTGCTGGACGGGCCAGCTCGGGTCTGTCACAGACAGATCACGGTAGGCACTGGCGTCCCTGGAGACGTGACTCTAGACGGCCAGCAAGTCAACTATGACAACCGACGTGTCAGACTTGGAGTCACCTATTACTTCTTCGTTCGACTCTACAGCAGTCAAGTAGGTGCCAGTACATGTGCAATACATGGACTTTCCACTAACTGTATGTCGTTTTTATCCAGGACGATAGAACAAGATTTAATGATAGTGCACCTGTCACACCTCCAGTTGGTGAGCAGCACAGTGTCTTAAATCATTCATAGTGTACACGCAGAGCACGGTGAAGAGGGTTTTAACTACCACAATGTACTATAATATTGTAGTAGAGTGGTGACGCTCTGAACACCACACCAGAGGGAGGGGCAGCATCTGTATTAGTGAGGCCCTAGGGATTTACTTTACTCGGGGGGAAACAAAGATGTCTTTGTTGGAGAGGTGTTCTTGTTTCGGGGGTTTCTCTTGATGGAGGTCCCTCTGTGTGTTCCTCTTTCCCCCTCGATTCTCTCCATTATTCACTCCAGTTATCCCGGCACCACCAACGACCGAGGATGATCCAACAGTTCCCATCATAGCTGGTGTTCTAGGAGTTCTGGCATTCATCCTTGTCCTGGTTCTGGTCATCCTTCTCATCTTTGCCTGCCGGTAAGCCCCGGCCCTCCCTCACACACATAAACCACGCCCCATTGCTCCGCCCCCTCCAGAGGGAGGATATCTGATTCGTACAAGGTGCCCCATCTGCGAAGACTGGAAGATGGGGAGAAAGGAGGGATCGAGTTGCGAAGAAGAACAAGACATTTCAGTACGTCTCTCTCTCTCACAGAACTAGTAGCTACAGAACCCGCGAAGAAGGGACATGATTCTACGAGGTGTCCCTTATTCAATGTATTAGTATGAGGGAGAACCAATGTTTGTTTTTTATAGGGAGGCATTTTTAGTTCAGAGCGTCCATTTTCATGTGTTATACTGCAGTTCCCTCTCCTCTCACTGCAGCCCCAGTTCTTGACGTGGGTGACCCAAACGTCTTCACGTCAGTCGGCCAACCCACCACTCTGGTCTGTGAGGTCTCTGGCACTCCCGCACCCACAATCAAATGGTCCCACGAGGGGAAACCCCTGGACGACGAGCGGTTCCTAGTCCTCGCTGACCACTCCCTCTTCATCCAGAACACCTCACTCGAGGTATCTCTCTCTCCCTCCCTCTCTCTCTGTTCGCCCCTTTTCCTCTTTCCTTCCTCCTTTTCCTCTGAAATTGTCAACTTTGCACATGTTTTGTGTTTCATTGTTGTCTAACCAGGAGCATTTTTCCTGGAGCATTTTTGATAAACAGTTCAGCTGTGATTCTTGCCACCTTCCTCTCTCTCTTTCCGTTTCAGTCCGTCCTTCCTTTGTTTCATTTAACCCTCTCCTCACTCACCCCTCCCCCCAGGACGAGGGATCCTATCTAGTGACGGCAGAGAACTCGACTGGAACTACTTCAGCTCAGATCAAAGTAACAGTCATCAAACCAACACCCCCCGAACGTGAGTCGGCCCCTGACAATCACAGGAGTATCACATGACTGTCATGTGACCACACTGCAGATGACGAGAGCCACCCTCCAGTTCCAGTTGATAACTTCACAGAGTACTTTGCTAGAATGACAGCCAACGAAGGAGACGATTTGGAAGAGGAATACCAGGTATGTCGTGCTGTGGGAACATTCTGATGATCTCCTTCTCTGTCGGTCTGTGTGTGTGTGTGTGTTCAGGATGTGGAGCCTGATTTTGCCCACACCGCATTTGCCGCCAAATTGTCCATCAACCGTAACAAGAACCGCTACATCAACATCATCCCATGTGAGAGCCTTCTCTCCGCCAATCTACGCACATCTACCTCCCCCTCTTCTTCTCCCCCCCAGATGATCACAGTCGGGTGATACTGGCTCTCCAGGAGAACACTCCAGGCTCTGACTACATCAATGCCTCCTACATTGATGTGTGTTTGCCATCTTAGTCATCACTCTCATTTTGTCTGTCTTCTTTTCTCGCTCTCCTCTTTTGCTCGCCCTCTTCTTTGTCCGTTTGGTTACTTCTCTGCTCTTGTCTATTTTTCTCTCCTCCCTCCTCCTCACCCAGGGTTACAGGAGGAACAACCAGTACATAGCAACGCAAGGCCCGACAACCACCACACTGGCCGACTTCTGGAGAATGGTCTGGGAACTGGACTGCCCCACCATCGTCATGGTTACCAAACTGGAGGAAGAGGACAAGGTACAGAAGTAATTGGTGGGCATTATTTGGAATCTATTGAGCAAATTGCACTCCCCTTCTGGTGTGAATAAACCTGCATGTCGCCATGAATACACAGGTGTTGCATATTACACAAGTGTGTGTATTTAGGTACTAATAATCCATGAATGGACTAGTGATTGTGTTTATAAGGCACTCTGTGGTGTGAATATACTTATGTTTGTCCATTTCCTTGGTTCACTGTGTGGGGGGAAGGCCTCTGTGGGGGGCGAGGGGAAGGTGTGAATTTCCTTAGGAGCAGCTGCTTTGAATTTTCACTCATTTCCTGTCCTCACTGAGTGTTGCATGCTTCTCTTCACACTCAAATTTCTAATTATTGCCAAGAAATCTCCCTTATGAATGTGTGTGTATATCAGCAATCAGTTTTAAATTGAGTTTTGCGTTGTTGTCTCCCTCCTCTGCCCCTGTCATTTGTAGAGGAAATGTGAGCAGTACTGGCCGTCCTATGGCTCCACCACATATGGGAATGTACAAGTTACGCTGAAAGAGGCTGAGAACCTTGCCGAATACAGCATCAGAACTTTCTCCATCACTCCCGTGAGTCGTGAATATCATTACCAAACCCCTCTGCCACGCCCCCTGCTCCGCCTCCTCAGTTGGCCGGGCAAAGCAGTGCACAGATGCCTGTTCGAGAGGTGAAGCAGTTCCATTTCCTCAAGTGGCCTGATCACGGAGTCCCCAACTACGCCACAGCCCTCCTGCACTTCCGGAAGAGGGTTCATCTCTATCACCCTCTCAAGAGAGGGCCCATGATTGTCCACTGCAGGTATACCCACAGTGGGAGATGGGTTAATGCAGGTGTACCCACAGTGGGAGATGGGTTAATGCAGGTATACCCACAGTGGGAGATGGGTTAATGCAGGTATACTCACAGTGGGAGATGGGTTAATGCAGGTGTACCCACAGTGGGAGATGGGTTAGTGCAGGTATCTGTACTGGGAGATGGGTTAATGCAGGTATCCGTAGTGGGAGTAGGGTTAATGCAGGCAGTGGGAGAATAGGAATGCTGTGGGTAAGTGGCATGAAATATTAGTGATACCATGAACAAAGTGCCCTGGTGTTTTCAACATAGCTCCTGACGGAGATAAATTTGAGCTATGAAGCAGACAAGAAGGTGTTTGTTATTGTCCCATGCAGTGCTGGCGTTGGACGCACAGGTACATTCGCCACAGTAGACTACTGCATGGAGCGAATGGAGGGAGAGGGAAGTGTGGACATCTTCAACTTTGTCCAGCAGATGAGATACAAGAGGAACTACATGGTCCAGACTGCGGTGAGCAGCACACAGCAAGAAGAATGCTAACAATGCAATAACAATGCTCCTCCTCCATCTACAGCCTCAGTATGAGTTCATCCACGAGGCGATCAACGAGGCCATAACCTGCGGGGACACCTCAATCAAGGCTCCGGAGCTGAAGGACTGGCTGGCCAAGTTGACCCCTGACTCCGAGACCGGAAAGACTGTTCTGGAAGACCAGTTCAAAGTACGCAACTGCAACCATTCATAATTTTGAGGGGTAGCAAATGAGAAATTACATGTCGTCCGTTTTTCCCCTCAACCAGCGACTGGAGACTGCCAGTCCTCACGATGAGGAATTTGACTGCACTGTTGCAGAAGTGAACAAAGACAAGAACAGAGTCAACAAGCACCTCCCAGGTATATATATACCTCTCCCCCCAACCCCTTCCTCTAGTAGTAGATTCCTCCCTCTCCTCTCCGTCCACAGCCAATGATCAGAGGGTCGTCCTCTCAACGGAGAACGACCAATGTGACTACATCTGTGCCAGCTACATTGATGTGAGTTTTGGGAGTTTCGCTAGTAATTCATGTTCAGAAGAAAACTAGAGAGAAAGTTTTTCTCGTGTAACCATTGACACTGTGCATTAATTAGACTTCTTGCTTTCCGTACCGTATATATGTCTGCTTCTCTCCTCTTGTTTTGCTGCTGACTCTGGGTCCTCCTCTCTCCTGGTCACAGGGCTACCGTCAACGTAATGCCTTCATGATCACACAAGGCCCAATGGAGGACACCGTGGGAGACTTCTGGAGAATGGTGTGGGAGCTCAAGAGTGCCGCCATTGTCATGCTCACCCAGCTGGAGGAGAATGGAGAGGTCAGCTAGCTCCCTCCTTCCTCTCCTTACTCTCCCACTCTCTTCTCTACTTACTCACCCACTCTCTTCTCTCCTTACTCGCCCACTCTCTTCACTACTTACTCACCCACTCTCTTCTCTCCATACTCACCCACTCTCTTCTCTCCTACTCACCCACTCTCTCTCTCCATACTCGCCCACTCTCTTCTCTCCATACTCGCCCACTCTCTTCTCTCCATACTCACCCACTCTCTTCTCTCCTTACTCACCCACTCTCTTCTCTCCTTACTCACCCACTCTCTTCTCTCCATACTCACCCACTCTCTTCTCTCCATACTCACCCACTCTCTTCTCTCCTTACTCACCCACTCTCTTCTCTCCTTACTCACCCACTCTCTTCTCTCCATACTCACCCACTCTCTTCTCTCCATACTCACCCACTCTCTTCTCTCCATACTCACCCACTCTCTTCTCTCCATACTCACCCACTCTCTTCTCTCCATACTCACCCACTCTCTTCTCTCCATACTCACCCACTCTCTTCTCTCCTTACTCACCCACTCTCTTCTCTCCTTACTCACCCACTCTCTTCTCTCCTTACTCACCCACTCTCTTCTCTCCATACTCACCCACTCTCTTCTCTCCTTACTCACCCACTCTCTTCTCTCCATACTCACCCACTCTCTTCTCTCCATACTCACCCACTCTCTTCTCTCCATACTCGCCCACTCTCTTCTCTCCATACTCACCCACTCTCTTCTCTCCATACTCCTCCACTCTCTCCATACAGGAGATGAGTAGAAAGTACTGGTCCGACACAGTGGGAGAAGCTGCCGTGTTTGGTCTCTTCCACGTGGAGCTGACCTCTGAAGTCAGGGACCTGGGCGACTACTGCACTAGGAAAATCAAACTCTCTCCCATCAGCAATGTATGTCCACTGAACCCTAATCTGTGTGCCTATATAGTACTGACTCTTTCTCTATGACGTGTTGGCATAATGACTGGCTTGTAGTTGTGGGTGTTCCTGCCAGCTGGGCTGCCCTGGTAGCCAAGTGGGTATGAGATAGAGCACTCTGCTTATACTGAAGAGTGTGGTGGGTTTGCCTCCCACTGAGTGTGCAGCTCTTTTTGCGTTGGAACAATAGACGGTGTTCTGCATCATGTGCCTTGCCTCCTTATATGTTTAGATACAGATTGACCTGGGTGTGTATCGACTTAGGTGTTTTGTAGGTTCATGGCTCACCAGTTCTTTTATGCCAACACACACACACCACTCCTCCGCAGCCCCAGGAGACCCGCATAGTGACTCAGTTCCACTTCACCAAGTGGACCCGCAGTTCCCCACCCGAGTCTGCGAAACCCATGATTGACATGATCGATGAACTCCAGCGAGTCCAGCGCAAGTCTGGCAATCAGCCAATCACAGTCCACTGCAAGTAAGAGAGACTGGGGGCCACCAGAATGTTTAACGGGCAAAATGAGAATGGCCTTACAACATACACTCAGTTTCCTCAAAAGGGGCCTAAATGTATTTGGGGGCCCACTTTCCTAACTAAACCCAGTTTTACCCCCTCTTTCCCCCGTTCCCTCTCCTCCAGTGATGGGCTAGGTCGAACGGGTACGTTCTGCACCTTGTATTACGTTCTGGATCGCGTGAAGACGGAGCAAGTGGTGGATGTGTTTCAGGCAGTCAAGACCCTGCGTATCCAGCGTACTGGACTTGTGGACAACCTGGTATGCAACTAACTGTCTAAATATAGAACACTGCTCTGCTACTAACTTTAGGCTAATGTTGTGTGGCAATCCAGGTGTATGCAGTTTAGAAACAACAGGGTGTGTGTGTGTAGTTAGCCTGAGAACCTCAAACACTTCCGCTTATTTTTGCCTCTCGTTGCATCAGCACTGTGTCCTTTAGCCTTTTATGGAAACGTAAACACTTTCCCTCTTTCACCCCCTCTTTCACCCCCTCTCTTCTCTCTCCTCACTCTATAGGAGCAGTTCAAGTTTGTGCACACTGCCACGATGGAGTTTCTCAACACCTTCTCAGACTACCAGAACTTCAAGTAGACTGATAGTACTAGAGTCCTTAACTTTGAACCTCAATTTTTGCTGATTTTGTATATCTCTGTACACTGTAGTTTAACCTATAGTCTTAGTTCCCTGAGCCTTTTGGTGTGTGTCATTTCATGATTCATTGTTGTGTTTAATACTCTGTACTCTGCATGGAACATGAATCATTTTCTTTGAAAGTTGATGACTATGTCAAATACTTGGCTGCGTGCGTCTCCTGCTGTGCATGCATGTGTCAATGGGTTTGCAAGCCATAAGGCAAAGCTAACAGCTACACCCAGAACACTCTCCTGAGTTATGGTGGGACTTTGCTGGCAGCAATAATGCCTGGTATGATAGTTAGCCAGTGGGTGATATCATATGGACCATCCAACCAAGCAACGAGAATAATGTTCAGACATCCACTGCACTGGACAACCAAGGAATGCTGGGCTCTAATTGGAGGTATATGCCATACAGCTGGTGGTAAGAGATGAGAGGGAGGCTTGCTGTGTTTCTGCTGAGACTGGCTCTGGTGTCCTTGGCCTTGTCACTACTGGTCTTTCTCTTCACCACTCCCTCTCTCTCCTCCTCCTCCTCCTCCTCCTCCTCCTTACCTCAACAACAAGGTAGAGTCATCTATGTTGTGTACTAACTACAAGTGGAATCCAATATATTAAAATTAGTATTCCTGACCAATTTATGAGTGTACTACAATAAGGCTCCTTTGGGTGGCCAACAGTTGCCTAATGTATCACTACTATCTGTTCCCAGAAAGGCATTAGGTGTCCTATCATGTTCCACCACTGACTGTACTATAGTGTGACAATGCTGACTCCTGCACCTGTTCATACACACATGTCCTGCACGCTCTCCTACCGTGACTCCACATCCTCCTAACCTCTCCAAAACAGTAGCAGTGCATATACCTCTTTATCTCTTATGGTAGTGTGTACCAAACTGCCACCTTCATAACAGGTTATGCAACTGTGCATAATCCCTTGCGTGTCCTGCTATACAATGCATGGTCAGTGGTGTTCTCGTTATGACAGGGGCAGCCCTGAACAGAGATCCATTTCCCTGGGAGGTCCCAGGAGAGGAAATCGATGACATCACAGAGTTCAGAGGTCATTATATTATAAATAGACCCCACCCTAAAGTGTTCCTCACCGCTTTATATTACTCAAGTTAGCAACATCCAGTTTAGAGTAAGACCTTCTTGTTTTCGATTCATGTGGACACAACACTAGGCTATGTTTGCTGTTGAGATTATGTTAGATGGTCCATGTATACACAATGTGTGGGTTTTGTAAACCACCCCGGTATGTGAGTGGTTGTTACGACAACAGGTCCAAAGAGACGAAACCTCCAGCAGACAGGGGCACTGGTCAACCGAGACGTCTTCACTGAGCCTCAACTCACAACCACCACACTACAGGGCCGCACACACAGTCTCCAGCATGCCACAGTGAGTTGACAGTACACCGCTGGACTGTTGGAGTCTTGAGTGTGCTGTGCTAATTAGCCACCCATTATCAGGGTGGTTATCTGACCAACAATTGAGGTCTTTATTTTGGGGGTATGCAAGAACTGTTCTTGGGGAAAGATAAGGTGTCCTTATTAGAGAGGTGTCCTCATTTCAGGGTCCAGGTCCTACTCACACCCCCTCTGTCTCTCTTCTTCGTTGCTCTCTACAGCACAAGAGGTCAAGGTACAACTACACGGTGGTGCAGCAGGTACGACAGCGGGCTCTGGACGCTGCATGCAGACAACAGACCATCACACGAGAGACCTGGAGCGACCTCTCTCAGTCACAGAGAACCGCACTTGCCGACAGAATCATCGTCAATGAAGAGCACAAGCTGTTATTCTGCCCTGTTCCCCTGACGTCTATTGGTCCGTGGATGAAGGTGCTCTACCTGTTGGGTCCTAATGGGAAACAGCTCAAGAGCACAGACGAGGTCCCTGCCAGCGAGCTCAGTCACAGAGAAAACTTTGTGTACCTCAGTAGCTTCACTCCCGAGGAACAGGAGGAGAAGGTGGAGCAGTACCTGAAGTTCATGGTAACCCGCCACCCCTTCTTTCGACTGGCTGTGGCCTACAAGATGAAGTTTGAGGCTGACAATGCCTTCTTCCACGAGCGGTACGGACGAGAGATCGTTCGGCTGTACCGCTCCGGTGCCACGGGGGAAGAAACGGGCAGCGACGTGAAATTCTCGGAATTTGTGGAATACCTGTTCCACCTCGGAGGGGAGGGGGAGATGAACGAACACTGGCGACCTTTGGACTCTCTCTGTCTCCCGTGCCAGGTGGGTTACGACTACCTCTTGCACTACGAGACGCTGGCCGCCGACTCTAACGAACTTCTCAGAGAAGCACGGCTGCTGCGAAGGGTCCCCTCCCTCCCACGTGACGCCTGGGACCACATATCGACACAATACATGCAGAGTCTGTTCAGACAGATCAGCCCGGCCTGGATAGGCCAGTTGGTGCAGCGATACCAGGAAGACTTTGACATGTTTTCATATGGTTCCATACTCTGAGATTTTACACTGCCACTAATCCACTTATCAAACAAAATAGCAAATATAAAAATACTAGTTATAGTGTAAAAGTTCACACATTGAAATTATGATAGTTCACAGAGTTACACATGTGGTAGGGATGTCGCAAGGCGGAGGGAGTATTCAAATATCCTGGAAGTTTCCATATGTGTCGAATGAATCGAGATACACTAGCACTGTTTCAAATAGAGTGTGGTACTGCGCCTAGAGAACGAGGTGGAAAGGAATGTGACATTGGATAGTTGATGTGTTAGGTGACGTACCACAGTGCGTACAGCTCCAGGTTTCTGTACACGGAGAGCCTTGACCACCTGGAACACATCCACCACTCCCTCTGTCTTACACCTCTCAATGGTGGTGGCTATGGCACAGAACATCCCAGACCTGCTCACTGTATCACTGGACACAGGAGAGATTTATAATTGTGTAAAACACTCGGTACTAAAAGAGGAGGGAGAACATTGTGTATTAGGCCTTCAAAATCACAAGTAGGAAAGGTTTGTATTTGTACAGAAGGAGGCTGACCTGCAGTGCACGAGTATGGGGTTGTTCCCAGTCCTCTGCTGTATCTTGGTCACCTCTCCGATGACAGCTGTGATGGTACCCAGGTTGGAGCACTGACCGTCTGGTCTCCAGCCCTGAATGTGGATCTGCTGCACCTGGTGACTCTTGTTCGTCTGAGGCAGAGAAGAAAGATAAGCTTTGTCACAAATCTAAGAAAGGGGTTCTCTCGGTGATATGCAGTTGCCATGCACAACAAAGCCATGTGTGATGATTCAGAGAGAGAGAAGGTGTAGTTTTGAACTGATGTGAGAGGTCGTAACTACCTTCTTGTGGAGGACTCCGAAGGTTCTTATGGTGAAACCCTCCAACTTTTCCTCTCCCAGCATGTCAACAGTGTACTCTCCCACCTGCTGGACCCCAGAGCTGGGCCAGTACTTGTAGCACACATCCTACAATCAACACACACACTGTTATAATACCACCATTCAAATGTGTGAGATTTCTCAATTCAGGCAGTTTAACATGGGGAATGTTTGTAGGTGCCCCATTAACTCCCTGGAATCCAATACATTATACACATTATGAACCGACTCCCACCTTCCCACTCTCCACCAGGTCACACGGCATCACCACCACTCCACACTTCCTGTCATAGACCGTCTTCCAGAAATCTCTGGCAGTGGACTGCATGGGACTCTGAGCTATGATGAAGGCTCTCTGCTGCTTGTAGCCCTGGGAGGGATATACATACAGGATGAAGGGGGGAGGGGGGTTTGTGGGTGTGCACATTGGAAACACTGCAGCCTTAGAATCTGCATTCCACTCACATTCACAGCCACAGCATGTATATAGTCTTCCGTCTCTCCTTTCAGAACCACTCGCCAGCGATCACCTGCACGGCAGAGCAACCCACACAGTGATCCATAAACACCACCCCCCCTCTCTCTCTCTCTCTTACCGGGCAAGAAATCTTCGCTGCGGTTCTTTGTGGGATTGTCCAGAGCCTTTTCCCTGGGCACCTGGTCTGGTCGAGGAGACACCTGCTCCAGGACCTGGTGTGGGAGATTGCAAGAGAAACCTCGTGGTGGCAGCTGTGACAGCACAATATAGTTTCAGTATGTCTCAGTGAGTGGAGGGTGGGTGGGTTTTGACACACTAACTAACTAAACTGAGCTGTGTTGAGGAACGGAAAGGTTTGTTGACCTAAACCTTTTCGGGGCTCGTGTGCTGTTCATTCCTCCAGAGATTATTTACAACCACCACAACGTTTACATTTGCTGCCATGTGTATCTGAATGGTCCTAAAACTGGCCTGAACTGGCTCTCAAAACCCAGTCATACTGGTTTTAGGGTCCCTCCTACTGAGGATCTGTATGCTCCTCCGCAGGTCACTGGCTCCAATCTGAGTGTCTCCACAGGTGACTGCCTCAAGAATAGCATCGTGAATGAAGATGTATTGTTCCTAGGGGAATGGAGTTTGGGGGGTGTTTAGTATCACGCAATGACTCCAATTATGGACCATTAGGGAGTAAAGGTATACCCTTATCAAAACCACCAACAATGCACTTGAGTGCTTCTGAATGGAAACAGAAACTGGCTGTACGGCTACTGCGTGTGGTGTTTGGAATGACGACCACTCACTGGGTTCTGCACCATCTTCATCCTCTGTCCTCTGAGGTGTTGGACGACACCCGCCACATCCACCATCTTTTCCTTTGAGATCTGATCCAGGACTCTGTCTATGGTGATGAGTGTCCCCGTCCTACCCACTCCAGCACTACGCACACACACACACAGCAGTTTCAATATACTCTTGGATAGCATAACTGCGAAATGCCGCACGTTGTGTACCTGCAGTGGACTAAGAGTGGGCCTTTAGATGGCCTGTGCTGTTTCCTGATCTTCTTGTGGAAGGCCAGGATGGGTGTGGCATAGTCGGGCACTCCGTGGTCAGGCCAGGCTGTGAAGTGGAACTGGGTCACCTTCAGTGCACGCTCTGAACTTCCCTTCAGCTGCAGTGATCAGATTTTCCAGTAATGAATCGAAGCAGGAAGAGTACCCACACACTATGACCAATCCAGGAAACCATCCTAATATACTCCCCTAGTTGCATTGTGCTGACAGCCCCTTGGAGGCTAATACTAGAATGAGGTCTACCTGAAGAATGCAGAAATTGTCACTCCACACATACATACCTGTACCAGCAGAGTTCGTGTGGTGTAGTCAGCCAGAGTCTGCTCCTCGGAGATGGTGACTTGGAACGGTCCAAAGTTTCTTGTCCCGCTCGCGGGCCAGTACTGCTGACACTTGATCTTGGTCCCCTCCTTCAGGTTGGTCACCATGACAATGGTGGGGGGTTTCTCCTGCCAGACCAGCCTCCAGAAGTCAACCACTGTCTTTGGTAGGGGACCTGGGGAGGAGTGGAACCATTGTGTAGAGATGTGTAGTAAGTGGGGGAATCACGAGGCAGCTATTCCTCTACAAACAGGAAACTGGAAATACCTTGAGTGGCAATGAATTTGTTTCTGAACTTGTAGCCCTGGTGGTGGTGGTGGTGTGTGTGTGTGGGGGGGTCAGTGAGTATGGCATTGTGTGGAAAGAGATGACCTACGTCCACATAGCAGGCGTTGATAAAGTCTCTCTGGCAGTCTGCCTGGCCTTCAATTGGCCTCAGGGCAATCCTGTTGTTGTCATCTGAAAGAGAGAAAGAGAGCCTAAATGAAGGTTTGGTAGCTGGGACCGATGAGAACCTACAGACGGTGATGTTGCCAAATCTGTTGAGGAGCTTCAGTTCTTGACTTGTCCCAATGGTCTTTGGATGGTCTGCATCCCTATCCAGTTCCTGGGAAGACAGACACACACACTCACACACTATACCCCCTCTCTCTCATTTGGTGACTCACGGTATACTGGTCCCTGAACACTCGGTTGTCGTTGGCATGACCACTGGCCACGTACTGACCAAAGTTGCTCACGGGATTGGAGAGAAGCTGATCTGTTTCCTGGCCACAAATGGCGAAGGCTCTCCCTCTCTCTTCACAAACAGCTTCACCTCTTTCTCACTGCTCCCGGCTCTGTTGACGGCCAGGAGCTTGTAGACTCCGCTGTGCTTGCTCTCTGATGACGGCATTGACAGAGTCCCGTCCTCCCCCAACTCCCTGGAGTAATCCGCCACCACCTCTACTCCGTTGTGGTACCACGTCAGTTTGGGGTGGGGTACTCCACTCACTTTGACCCTAAACACAACTCTCTCTCCCTCCATAGTATGTTTGTCCTCGGGAAATCTGGAAATGACCGGTTCTGCAGAGAAATCAAGAAATAAACTGGAGTATCTTCCACACACTCACATCCTAGTCACATTACCACTGAATTTCTCTTCATTGCGGGAGTTTTCTGATGCCTTTGAGTAGTGGACTGGGGCTGGGTTGATATCTGATAGCTGTTGAGGCGGAGGAAGATAGCTTTTCTCACTGCTTCCGCGACGCCTCCTGTGTGGGGTGCAGTTTTAGTTGTGTGTTTGACAGATCAGGAGTTGACTTACCACCACACAAACAGTATGACACCAGCAACAACAGCAACAATAATAACAAGAAGAGGAATGACAACAGCTGCAGCTACGGCACCAGAATTGTCGCTCGTTTGTTCT